ATTCACCATCTTCAGGTCGACACAAATAACCCACTTATGCTGATCATAACGAATCATCTCCAGCACATACTTCACCGCTTCATACTTCTCCTTCAGTTTAGTAGAGTGAGCAAGGGGCACAGAGGCAAACTGGTTGCCGTTGTGCAGTAGAACACATTTCAGTGACCGCTTGCTGCTGTCAATGAACAGTCTCCAGTCTTCGGGCTTGTACTGCGGCACTCCCAGGTGGTGCAGAAGCTGTGCAATATCTGTGCAGTACACCAAGGCCTGCACCTCCGAGAAAAATTGGAGGTACTCTTGATGCCTGTTGCGGTACAGGGTGATGCGAGCACAGCCAGAGAGGAGGTTTTTTTTTCAATCTGGATGCCAACAGTTCAGCAGAGGCCTTTGACAAGCTGAGGTCGCGAACTAGATCATTTAGCTCCTGTTGGGAAAAAAGCTGTGAAGTTTCATCGTCAACAACTGGCCATTCTTTTTCTGTTTCCTGATCTTCATCACTGGAGGATTCGTCATCACTGATGTCTTGAAGTTTGTGAAACACAGGTACTGGAATATCATTGATTGTATATAGTTATTTAGTAATATATACGGCTATATAGATTTATATATAGTTATGTGGAGTTTTTGATTAGATATAGTTATATAGTGTTATATAAGGTTATATAGATTTATATATAGTTATGTGGAGATATTGAATATATATAGTCATAAAGTGTTATATACGGTTATATAGATTTATATAAAGTTATAAAGTTTTATTGATTATAGATAGTGTTATAGTGATATATTCATTTATATAGATTTATATATAGCTTGTGACAATCCGCAAACTTGTGCTCATAGCGCTTAAAAGTTTAGAGCCACTTAGGCGATTAGATAAACCAGTTTAATATATTGGTAGTTAGAAGGTTAGAAGGTTATATAGATTTATACATAGTTATGTTGAGTTATTAATTATATATAGTTATACAGTGTTATATACGATTAAATAGATTTATATATAGTTATGTAGAGATATTGATTATATATAATTATATTGGGATATATACGGTTATAAACATTTATATATATTCATATAGTATAATATACGGTTATCTAGATTTATATATAGTTAACTAGAGTTATTGATTATATATAGTTATATAGTGATATATACAACTATTTCGAATTGTATATAGTGATGTAGATTTATTGATTATATATAGTTATATAGTTATAAATACGGTTATATAGATTTACATATAGTTATGTTGAGTTATTGATTAGATATAGTTATATAGTGTTATATACGGTTATATAGATTAATATATACTTATGTAGAGATAATGAATATATATATAGTCATATAGTGTTATATACGGTTATATAGATTTATATAAAGTTATATTGTGTTATTGAATATAGATAGTGTTATAGTGTTATATACGGTTATATAGATTTATGTATAGTTATGTAGAGTTATTGATTATATATAGTTTTCTGTGATATATACGGTTAAATAGATTTATATATAGTTATGTTGAGTTATTGATTAGATATAGTTATATAATGTTTTATAAGTTTATATAGACTTATATAGACTTATATTGAATTTATATAGTCATAAAGTGTTATATACGGTTATATAGATTTATAAAAAGTTATATAGTGTTATTGATTATAGATAGTGTTATAGTGGCATATACGGTTATTTAGATTTATATATAGTTATGTAAAGTTATTTAATATGTCTTGTTATATGGTGATATATACGACTATATAGATTTATATATAGTTATGTAGAGTTATTGATTATATATAGTTTTATAGTGATATATACAGATATATAGATTTATATATAGTTATGTTGAGTTATTATATATATTTAGTCATTAGTGTTATATACGGTTATATAGATTTATATACAGTTATAGAGTGTTATTGTTTATTTATAGTTATATATTGATATATACGGTTATATAGACTTATACAAAGTTATGTAGAGCCATTGATTTTATGTAGTTATATAGTAATATATACGGTTATAGAGATTTATATATAGCTTTTGACAATCCGCAAACTTGTGGGCTTGGCGCATAATAGTTTAGAGCCATTTATGCAACTAGATAAACCAGTTTAATCTAGTGGTAGTTAGAAGGTTATATAGATTTATACATAGTTATGTTTAATTATTAATTATATATAGTTATACAGTGTTATATACAATTAAATAGATTTATATATAGTTATGTAGAGATATTGATTATATATAATTTTATTGGGATATATACGGTTATAAACATTTATTTATATTCATATAGTGTAATATACGCTTGTCATGATTTATAAATATTTAGGTAGAGTTATTGTTTATAAATAGTTATTTAGTGATATATACGGCTATATAGATTTATATATAGTTATGTAGAGTTATTTATTATATATAGTTATATAGTGATATACTCGGTTTTATAGATTTATATATAGTTATGTTGAGTTATTGATTAGATATAGTTGTATAGTGTTATGTACGATTATATAGTTTTATATTCAGTTATGTAAAGATATTGAATATATATATAGTCATATAGTGTTATATACGGTTATATAGATTTATACATAGTTATGTAGAGTTATTGATTAGATATAGTTATATAGTGATATATACGGTTATATAGATTTATATATAGTTATGTTGAGTTATTGGTTAGATATAGTTATATAGTGTTATATAAGGTTATATAAATATATATAGTTATGTGGAGATATAAAATATATATAGTCATAAAGCGTTTTATTCGATTATATAGATTTATATAAAGTAATATAAAGCCACTGAGGCGATTTTTATAATGAATTTATAAATTATATAAATATAGCGAGCAAAATATTAACATAAAAGCGCTTTCAAATCTATGCATATTGGCTCAGCTTGGCTTGGCTCAGATTAGAATCGGATGTTAAGCAAGGTGTGGTCTCAAACTATTTTGAATTCTCCCCGTTATCTAGTTTTATATATAGTTATGTAGAGTAATTGATAATATATAGTTATATAGTGATATACACGGTTTTAAAGATTTATATATAGTTATGTAGAGTTATTTAATATAGATAGTCTTATAGTGTTATATACGTTATAAAGATTTAAATAAAGTTATATAGTGTTATTGATTATAGATAGTGTTATAGTGATATATACGGTTATATAGATTTATATATAGTTATGTAGAGTTATTTAGTATATCTAGTTATATAGTGATATATAATCAATAACTATATATAATCAATAACTATTTATAATTAATAACTCTACATAACTTTATAGAGATATATATATAGATATGTTGAGTTATTGCTTAGATATAGTTATATAGTGTTATCTACGGTTGTATAGATTTATATATAGTTATGTAGAGTTATTTAATATATCTAGTTATTTAGTGATATA